AATTCCTCTAAGGCATTTCGGTATTCTTTACAACTTAGGGGAGAAATAGGTTGAAAAATGTTAAACATTAAGTCCTACTTTAAAAATAAATCATATGCTTTAGAATAAGTTTTGCATCATGGAAGCACATTTTAAGTGCACACAATTAAATACATTTTGGTTAACTAACAAAAGCAATTAAGTAGAAGCTTTACAAGGAAGGTCAACATCTTCACAGAGAATAGAAAATACAACCCACCAACTCACCAAGCAGTATCAATATCTTCAGCAAAGATTTAAAAAGCCTGTGTACTGACACTTAGATCAAATGACTTCAGGGGTTGAACAGGTTAATTTAAAGTCTGGAGGTAGAAAATATGACCCACCAACTCACCAAGCAGTATTAATATCCTCAACAAAGATTTTAAAAGCCTATGTACTGACACTTAGATCAAATGACTTCGGGGGTTGAACCGGTTAACTTTAAAGTCTGAATCCTCAGGGTTTAGTATAATAGAGAATAAAAAAAACTTCAGAGTGCTTTTCTACTTAAAGGTATTAAACTTTAAGGAAAAAATTTATTTTTAATGTTCTATTAACCAAAAATAATCTGAGTCTTGGACCAGCAGTCTGGGAGCCCTGTTTTAGATAAATCTAATGTCATGGAACAAGAGAGGCATGTTAGGATATATTATTTTTCCAAGACATTGAAAGAAAATGACCTCAACTAGAATATTTGCTTCCTGATAGTACAAAAAAATATTTTTTGATTTGGTTGACTTTCCTACCTTTCTTATCTATTATCAATAAAGTAAGAAGCAAATACTGTCTTCATAAAGGCCAAAAGGTAAAGATAAAGAATTCATCATATGGAATCTTATAAAGGAAAAAAATTCGTCATTATACAAACAGTAAACTCTAAACTCCATAAAGGTAGAGGCACATAAGTCTATTTCTTTCACTCCTGCATATCCAATACCTAGTATATCATTCTGTAGGCATTTAAATATTTGTTTAATAAATGGACTTCTTAGAACCACTACCCAAAAAGTTTGACATCTTCCAATGGAAAAAAAAATTTAATTAAATATCCTAGATTCTATTTAAAATAAGTTCAACCACTTCCAAGATACTCTCAGGATTCAAAAGCTTTGCTCTTTTAACCATACTATATAAATATTTTTAAAGCAGGATACCTCTTTAAGACATATGATAATGCTGTAAATTAAAAAGTCAGAAATGTCTGTGAGGTAAGCCATAAGAACAGCTTACAATAGGATTCCCTTATCCAGTTTCACTTTCCATGGTTTGTTACTTAAGGTCAAGTACAGTCTTAAAATATTAAGATATTTTCAAAGAGAAGGAGAGATTACATTCACATAACTTTTATTATAATGTATTGTTAAAATTGTTCTATTTTATTATTATTGCTGTTAATCTCTCATTGTGCCTAATTTATAAGTTAAACTTTATCATAGGTATGTATGTATAAGAAAAAAACATAGTATATATAGGGTTCATTACTATTCATGCATTCAGGCATCGACTGGGGGTCTTAGAACACATCCCCCATGGATAAGAGGGCACTACTGTACTCTAAGTAGGAACACTTTACCTCATGTGTGTGTGAAGCAGGAAGGAAGTGAGTGAAGAATATAAGAAAAGATATTCAGATGATATAAGGCAGGATGTTCCAAGTATTATATCAATAAGTAAACTGAAGGAAGGGATCAAGGGATACATATTATAACAAAATGGTTAGAAAATTCAAGAATCAGTAAATAACTTGCCCACTCAATTTAGTTATTTGGGTAAAGGAAAGGTTTTCAGGTACAAAGAGAATAGGCTATCATGACTAAAGATATATTTTTGCTTATAATTAATCATTTTGCTTTATTCTATGCAAAAGATCCCCAAAATAAGGTCTATAGACATACATAAGATACACAGATATAATCACAGGTGAAAAAAGTCCCATGAATACCTGAGAGCAAAAGCAATGATGGAACTGGGTTCCTTCTCACAGACAGCAATAGGCACTCGTTCATGTTCATACATTAAGTAGTGTTTATCTGGATCACTGTTCAAATTTTTTGAATACATAAGTAAATAAGAATAAACTTTGCAGAAAATCACATGTAAAAACCATTAACACATCACAAGTAAATTGATCTCAAAACAATTCTGAGTTAAATAAATACTGTACAATAAATATAATTAAGAAAGCCGAAATGTACGCAGATTCTGATAACGTGAATCAAATAGGCAACAAAAAGATATTTAGAGAAAGTTGTTGAAGGCAATTAGAAAATTATCAAAATCAGGTTTCAAATCGGAGGATTCTGAAACAGTCACTTCAAAGAAAAGTTTCCATACTGCCAAGACTTAGGTCATATTAATCTCAAAAAGAATTTACAATGAACAGTGGAAGTCTAAGATATTTTGTTCTATTATAAGCTTGAGAGAAGTCTTCTAGAAATTGTGGAGAAGACATACTACTAGTCCAACAATAAATAGCACAACACAGCCACTCTACTATTATCACATGGAAACTCAATTTTGCTCACCTGACTTTCACTCTATCTGCCCCAGGCACTGTTAGGCACCATCACTGATTTTATTAATATTTAGGTGCTATTTTCCAACCACCTAATGTGCCAGGGATGTAACATGGAGAAAAACTATTATTAAGCACTTTACATGTGTGAGATGTTAACAGTTACAGTGGTGAAAAAAATAGGCACCATAGAGTTTATAGTTTAGTGGGGGTAAAGAAACAAATAATCCTACAAATAAACATAATCACTGTCATAAGTGCTATGGGGAAATTATTATGGAATGAACATTTGCGTTCCTCCTCCCCAAATTCATATGTTGAAAAACTAACCCCCAATGTGATGGCATAAAGAGGTGGGTACTTTGGAAGATAATTTAGGTCATGAGCGTAGAGTCCTCATGAATGGAATTCGTGACCTTACATTCGTGACCTGAGAGAACTCTCTCACCCTCTTTCCACCATGTGAGGATACAAAGAGAGGACAGCAATCTACAATCCCAAAGAGGGCCCTCACCAGAACCCAACCATGCTGACACCCTAATCTCAGACTTCTAGCCTCCAGAACTGTGAGAAATAAATTTCCGTTGTTCATAAGCCACCCAGTCTATGGTAATTCATTACAGCAGCCTAAACTAAGACAGGAATCATGAGAGCATATAACAAAAACAATTAATCTGGCTGGGAGAGGGGTTGGGGAAGGTCCTCATAATGTTTGCCTGAGAAAGAATAGGACTTAATGATTAAGAAAGAAGGTAAGAGTACGAAGGATCATAGCCCATTCAAGAAACTAAGATATTCGGGTCTGAAGTAGAGAAAATAGGGACCTTTTACATAATACTATCACGCGACATATCACATACTGTACTGAGTCTCTACTTGTCTCTTCTCCAAGATTATGAGCTCCTAAGAGCAGTGATTTTTTTTCCTTATGAATCTTATTCTACATCATAGGGCACCAGAGTAGGCACTAAACAAAAGTTTAAATATTGACTGAATAAATACATAAGTCAGTTAAGGAAAAACAGAAGTTCTAACTAATGTTCACCTTTTGGATATACTTGTACCACCACAACAAGAGCAGAATTTGATGGCCACACAGGTCAACCAGTGGAAGAAAAACAAACTCGCACAGCCAATCTATATTCTTTCTCAGTCTGAGTGAGCCCAGCACAAAAAGATCACATAAAAACTATGATGGGTCACTATAATTCACCATCACTGCTAGAACAATGCCATGTCTCAGTAAATTATTAGGCCAGTAATACCATCCTCATATACAACCAGCAATGCTTTTATTATTATGAGATAACTGATGTAGCAGTATATCTTCAAAAAAAAAGGTAGATATATTGTTTTCAGAACCAGTAATATTGAGAATTAAACAATATTAGGTAATGCTTTCTTTATCCATTCATCTACTATATAATGATTACATGTTCTACAAATTACATTGTATCAAAAGACATCTCTTTTATTATGAAATGAAATCTAGGATTGAGAAATACATATATACCAATAAACATTATCTAAATATGTAGAGAATAAGTCTAGAGACTTTTTTAAATTAAGGAAAAATAAAACCACCCAATAGCTACTGGCTTTAATAATACTTACAAAGGAAATGGAATAGGATTATAGCTATTTCCTGGAAGCAAATTTGCAAAGATGGCTTTCATGGTTGACTTTTCTTTCACCTGACTATCTGTGGATCCCAGCAAATGTCCATCAAACACATCTAAAATGAAAAATAGTCTACTTATATATTAATATTCAGAGAAAATAAAGAGTAAAAAGTATTGACTTTATTTCTTTTCCTTTTTAGAATACAGACATATGCACACTATAATTACCAATTATGGTTTAAAATTTCTGATCTAGTAAAAAGAGTCCTATAGGATGAAACAGGAAGCAACTGTGAAGCATACACAGCACTGACTCCAAGGGATTTTTTTTTTAAACATCATTCTAACTTTTTTTAAAAACATTTTTAAACATTTTTTTAATGTCTCTGAAATTGAGATCATCCCACAATCAACCATTACAGCAGCCAGACAACAGCCATGATGGGATTACTGCTTAAGCATGAACTTAGTCACAGCTGTTCGTGTTGTCACTTCAACTCAGTTTTGTGCCCTGTGGCTATTACACCTGAATTTAATTGAAATTTTAAAGTTAATTTCAAAGTTTATACTATAAGTAGTTACTGCTTAAATAGAAAGCAAGGAAAGGGAGGAGCAAGACATAAATTTGCAGTTATGAAGCAAATATTTGTTGTTGAAGAAACTGCTGCAATTTTCTTACTTTCTTACAAAGCTACAACCATATGCTTTATGAAACTTCAGAGAATAAGATCCCCAGAAGGTAGATGAAGCTAAATGACATTTTGTTACCGAAATATTTACATACCAAGTAGTACAACTAAAGGAAGAAATCATATGATAAAAAGTTGTATCTAAAGAAGCATTTTCAATAAGTATAAAGTAGAAAAATTCTAAGGCATTAGAAAGCATTATGTCAAAGAATTAGCAGTGTTTTTCTTCCTTGGAAACACATATAATGCAAAGATACATCTTTCAGTCTTAGATTCAGTGAAGTACAGTAAAAGTGAGTTAAACTGTACCTTCGGAACTGCTGGCTGTATCTGGCTCAGGGGGCCCTCCCACTGACTGCTCAGACAGGACTTCAGGTGGAGTAGGCAACTGGAGATGGGTAGAACCAGTGGAGCTCTGGCTGGACAGGGTAGTTAAGAAGCGATCCTCTAAAGAAAAACACAATCCTAAATGAGTCATTTACCAATATTACATCCATTTATTTCTACCTAATTTTTTTTAAATGTCAATTCATATTTCCACTTTCTAAAACACAGAATTTTAACTTTTCAAAAATCATCTAGGTCATGTAGCTCATGTCATAGAAACAGACACAAAAATCCAGAAAGGTCATATATGACTTGACCTCAGTCAAATCCTGGTGGCAGTACTGCAACAGTCAATCAAGTCTGACTCCTATCCAACTCTTCCCACTATACCACAATGCCTACCTAAATATTAGTTCACTCAGTTTAACAGAGAATGAAATTAGGATACTGCGGGGAAAACTACGTGCTTATTCTAGGGGAGAAAGAAACCATTAAATCATAAGAGAAAAATACCAAGAATTATGAGTTGAGCTCTTGTTCTATAAAGATAGTCTACAAAAATTTCCCCACAAAGCTTCTATGATGACACCAACTTATTCAATGAATACTATGAAAGACACCTTAAGTCTAGAAAAGATTTTAGTGACATTAAAAATATAAATTAAACTTTATAAGATTTTTACAGTGAAACCTGGGGGTTGACTTGGGACAAGCAAAATAGAAATCCAATTTCCTTTTTCTATTTCTCCTTCCTCTAATAACATCACCCTTTGTATTTCATGTATTTCTATAACCTGATTTTATCTTCATGCAATATACCATATGATAATCTTAAACTGATAGGGTTACAAATGCTCTACAGGAAGGTAAATCTATGAACAATTGCACCAGAAAAAAATGCTCAAAGTTGGCAGTTAAAAATAACTTGTACACTAAGAAATTTCTTTGAATCCAGTGGCAAGTGATCACTAGACTTGAGAACCAACCTTTTTCTCCATTTTGAAGTCCTGGGGAAATATTCCGCGGAGATGCATCCATTGCACTTATCTACAGAGAAGTAAATACTTCATTCTTAAGGAAAACATTAAAATAACATTTAAAACTTTTTTAGCCTGGTGAATCTTAAACTTTTTGGTCTCAGGACTTGTTTATACTCTTAAAAATTACTAAGGATCCCCTTAAATTAAAATAAGTTTTTGTTTCCCTTATTAGAAATCAAAACTGAGAAAGTTTTAAAATATGCATCCTAGTCATTTAAAAATAAGTCCATTACATATAAACATAAGTAACATATTTATTAAATAAAAACATACTTATGTTCCAAAATGAGGAAAAAATGGGTGAAAAAGTGATATTGCTTTACATTTTGACAAATATCTTTAATATGTAGTTAAATAGAAGACAGCTAGATTTATATCTGGCTTCTGCATTTAATCTGTTGGGTTATATTGTTATGACAAAAGTACATCAAGAAAATTGGCTTCACACAGATATGCAGTTGAAAAAGAGAAAATTTGTGGAGCCTGTGAAAGGGTCTTGGACTCTCAGGAGTCCTTGAGCCACACTTGAGAATAGTGTTCTAAATAGTAGCTCACTTCTTAGCATTAAAGCATCTGGAAGTACTCAGGATTATTCATTAAGCTCAGTAATCGTATATTATCTAATCAATCTTCTCAATTCCTATTATCTATATATAAGAATATATTTAGAATGATTATAAGGCTTATGTCCAATTTCATTACAAAGTCATTTCTTAGGTCTTCGATTATAAGTCACTATATCAGAGACACCTCCCATTTTATTTCAGGCTAGGATATAAAAGTAATCCAGGTCCTATTTCCTTGAAACCTCATAATTTCAAAATGCAAAACCCTACTTGTTATTATTAATAAAGTATGTATTAAACTACCACTTCTAAGTGTTATAAATAGAACTAACTATATATCCTATCAATGAAGGACCAAAGACAAAACAACATTTTATTACCTTGCTTTCCTCTCCTTGTCTCAGTCTTCCAGGACTTGGAGGAACCGAAGGTCGCTTTCTACCCTTTTCCTGCTGGAAAAGGTCCTGTAACCTATGGCCAAAGGCAAAGAAGCAGCAGCAACAGAAGAAGAAAAATATATGGTTTTGTTTCCAGCACCTTGAATAATGTTTATAAATTTTCTCTTTCCAATCTTGAAAACATAATAAATTTTCCTATTTAGATTACAATACACTTTAAAGTTGTATATAAATAAGACTAAGTATCTTAGTCTGTATTTAATCAACTAACCAAGAGCTCTTGCTGATATGACTATAAAACAATAGAAAATTATTACAAAGAAAAATATTTCTCAAAATATTTAAATAAAGGTTTAACATAAACATGTCAATATATTTGAAATTCCTGGCTCAAATACCAATAGTTATTCATGGCATACTAACTCAGTTAAATACGATTCAATGGAGCACACATTTGAAAAATCATTGTTTCAAATTATATTGGAAAAAAAGGGTGTTCTCGTCTTTGGTTTTACATCTTCATAAACTATCTAAAGATTTGCACATATGATTTAAAGGATAAAGGGAAGGGAGGGTGATAGAAAACAAAAGCTTCTATAACTTGAGAGTAAAATGAACATTCATAATCAATAAAAACTTTTAAATTTAAAAATATCATGGCAGAGCAATGTGGCAATAATATTAAAAGGAAACCAGACTGCAAAATCATACCTGTTATTCCAAGCTTGTAGCACTTCACAGAGACTTTGTTTCTTGGCAATGAGTGACTCAAAGACTGACTGTAGTTGCTGAGGGGTATCTACAGAGGAAGACATGAGCCTTGCTTGCATCTTCTCAATCCAGTTCTTGAACTCGCCTTCTTCCATCTACAAGGAACAGAAACGATTTCATAAACTGAGGCATTATATACACACCCCCACCAAAAGAAACTTCTAATAAGTTAATAGTTACCTTTTAAATTATCTATCAAAGAAATGAATTACCTCTTTTTGTGCAAAAATATCTTCCATTTTTTCCTCTCTTGTTTTGCTAAATGTATCAGTTTTCAAAGATGCGAGTCTTTCATCAACAGCAAGATATACTTGTGAAACCCTAATAGAAGATGGAATCAAATTTTCTATCTCACATAAATAGAAAAAAAGGTGTTACATACAAAACTATAACTGAAATATGTTTTATCTAATTAAGAATCACATGTAATTTTGCAGAGCAAAAAATACCTGAAAGGTCATACTTTAAAAAAATATGTATTTTTTTTTTTGAGATAAGTTCTTGATCTGTCGCCTTGGGTTGAGTGCAGTGGCGTCCTCATAGCTCACTGCAACCTCAAATTCCTGGGTTCAAGCAATCCTGCCTCAGCCTCCTGAGTAGCTGGGACTACAGACGTGCACCACCACGCCCAGACACGGTCTCCCTCATGTTCAGGATGGTCTTGAACTCCTGGCCTCAAACGATCCTCCAACCTCAGCCTCCCAAAATGCTAGGATTACAGGCATGAGCCACTGCACTCAGCCTACTTTATAATCTTTACAGTTGTTTGTTCTATGTGAGTTTGACCTCTTTTTTAATACTTTTCCGTATCATCTGCATTTTCACTTTTTTACACCAAGCACACATAAGTTATTTACATTTGCAAAGCAAGTTAAATGAACCTGATACTTTAAAATAGCTGTACATTACAGATAGTACTAAACAAAAAAGGATAATTAAAGAAACTAGAACTTACTTTTGAAAGAAGTCCTTCAGATCCTGAAGAAGGGACACTTTTAATGGGGCCTGACGTTTAATGAATATTTTGGGGAGTGGAACACATACTTCAAGAAGCCGAATGGGAGAATAACTGAGAGAAGAAAAAATACAAGGAAACAGTAGAAAAATAAAAAATGTTCTAATATCTTAAGTAGAGCTGTATCATGACGGCCAACTAAATCCTTTAAGGCATAAGAGAAAATAATGTTTCTGCAAAATGGCATTTTAAAACAATCATAAAGATACTGAAGATAACTTTCAACAAATATCCTCCTCATTTTGGAAAGGTTTTATTTTGTTTTTTCACTGCATTGTGGTGCCATCATTTATCCCTTGAGGCTATCCTCATCTGCTATGAAAACAGAAATGACTTTGATATAAACCTTCCCTATGAATGAGGAAAGGAACTCTGTCCTAAGATTAGATGTAGGTATTCATTACCTTCCCAGCTCCTGAGGTTACTTCGTGAGTCTTTATTTCCTTTCCACCTGAAAATTTATATTGACTAGTAAATGCTACATCCCACCTAGACTATAGATTCATGATTAAAGCTCTTGCTTAAAAAACGAAATAAACTCTAATTAGCAAATATTTCCTGAGGGTTTATTATGTGACAGACACTGTTTTAGGTGCTAAGGATATAGCACAAAACAAAGGCCAAAATTCCTGTCCTCATAATTCAGAAATAACAAAATTTTGGTAACAAACAAAACAAATATTCAAAACATGTATCAGATGGTACATACTTTTAAAAAAATAAATTAAGAAAGAGAAGCAGGGAGTGCTTGGGGTGAGAGGGTACCAGGGCAGACGAAATTTGAACCAATACTTGCAGAATTAAGGAAAGAGCAGGCAGGTATCTCAGGAATGAGCAGTTCAGAGAGGGAAGAACAAAGCACAAGGCTCTCAGGCAGGAACCCACCGGACATACATAGCTGAGGCCTGGCTAGGAGGCCAGCAGGGCTGCAGTGGGGTAAGTGAGGGGAGAGATTAGAGTGGTCCTGGGCAGCCAGAGCAGGTAGGGGATTACAGGCCAGTAAATGGACTCTGGCTTTCACTCAGAGTGAACACACACCCTTGGGAGTGTTTAGAACAGAGGAGCGACATGAACTGATTTTCCTCTAACAGGACTGCTCTGACTGCTTTGTTGAGAGCAGGCTGCAGGGACAAGGCCAAAGGGAGACTGGCAGAGGCTACTGCAATAACCTAGGTGAAAGATAACAGAGGCTCAGCCCGAAGTAGTAGCGGTAAAGGTGGTGAAGTGTTTAGACACTGGATATATTTTGAAGGCAGAACCTGAAGGCTTTCCCAAATTATTTAATATCACGATGGTAACTATCCATTCTTTGAACATGGAATTTTAGCTCTATCAGAAATATTTGATTATCCTCATGCTAGTCAATGTCTTAGGAAATATTCTGACAGACTTTCGGATGCCACAACAACGGTTAAGAGTGAAGCCAGTCGTAGAAGATTACCTAGGGTTCAAATCTTCGTTTATTAGCTCTATAAGTGAGCATAATAATAATACCTATTTCTTAGGAGTAAATAATACTGAAAGCTCTTAGCAGAGTCTAGCCCTCTATATTTGGAAGGGTAGAGATGGATGACACCTACAAATTAATCCGATCTAGTAACAATGAAAATGTTACTATAACTTCAAGGGACTATGTGATCGGGTACAAGGTTCCTTGGACTTCTTACCTGAAAGATGCCACCATCTGGTTATAGGAGAAATACTGGTGATAATCATGATGGATGGAGTGACCACATGGCTCAGCATTGGCTCTACGAGTGTACTGGTGCCCATAAAATCTAAGTTCAAGGTATTTTGCAAATGACATAGACCAGGACTCATTGGAAAGAGCAACAACCGGTGTTACCTAGAATTCAGCAAAAATAGTTTATTTAATCACACCCTTAGCATCCTCATTAAAAAATTATATATTTTATCTTCTAATATAAACCAAATACATTCTGACTGCAGAAAACCAGGAAAAAAAGGAAAATTCAAAGATGTGTGTGCAAATGTGAACCTGAAAGAGCCAATCCTTCGAGACAGATCTGGAGTGGCTAACTGGCTCTAAATTTAAAGTAGAGCCAAGCAACCATTTGCTAAGTAGAGGTCACACACTGTACACTGAGTTCTCCAAAAACCCCTCCCTTTTTAACTTTCAGACTCTTCCGAACCAACAACCAGAACTCCCACGCCTTGACCAATCAGAACTAAGAAAGTTTCAATCTTTCATTTGCATAAATGGATCTAAATAGGAACCTAGGCAGGAACTTTTGCTATAAAACCTGAACCCAGGGGATCACTTGAGCCCAGGAGTTTGTTGGAGGCTGCAGTGAACTATGATCATGCCACTGCACTCAACCTGATAGACCAGCCTGGGAAACACAGCAAGACCTCCTCTCTTTTAAGAAACAAAAACAAACCAAAAAACCCCAGAAGCCTCTCTTTGCTCTCTGGAACACAACGCATCTTCAGTTTACATTGAAGGCTATGTCTCCCCGGTTTGCAAACTGTTCACTAGAATAAAGTCTTTTTTCTCCAAATTCCTTTTCAGAAAACTTTTGTTCATAGGTGGGTGGAGTTGGGAATGGTGAGGGAGAGCAGCATCACCAATAATCCCACCACCAACATCAATAAAATAGTATATGTTTTATTTTCTTTCTATATATGAATACATATATATTAAATATATAGCCACATAGCGAGTGTATTTATAAATAGAAACTTTTTCCTATAATTAGCTTCATAAACTTCTCTTTTTTTACTTAGCAATATATCATGAATATTTTCCCCCATAAAATAATCTTGTACAACTTTTGAAATAACTACAGAGTATCTTATTATATAGACATATATTTAACCAATTTTTACCAACATACATTTAAGACATTACTAGTTTTTCCTTATTAGGATGATGCTCTGAGGAACACCCTTATATATTACAGACATATTTACAAATGTCTGTAATTATTTCCTTGGAATAAATTAATAAAGGTGGGAATTGTTAGGTCAAAGGGCACGAACATTTATACTGTCCTTTGATACTTTTTGCCACAGTGTCTTCCAAAACAGGTACACTGGTTTACACCATCTCCAACAATATTTGAGAATACCAATTTCCCCTCACTCTTACCAATCCTAGGAATTAGGGTTGAAATCTTTTAAATGTGATTTTCTTAAAAAATTCTTTTAAAAAGGCATTCTACTGGTTTCATTTATACTTCTTTGACTATAATGAGTAAAATTTATTTGCACATTTACTGGCTATTCGCATTAAATTGCTTTGTCATATCCTTTGCCCGTTTTTCTATTATAATGGAATATAGAAATGTAATATTAAGTGCATTTATGTTTGATCACATATGGTGTAACTTCTCCTGACACTATAAGTTTTTCATTTTAGTATAACAAAACTATTCACCTTTTCCTTTCTAGCATAACCCTGAAAGCAGACATTTTGTTTTAAAATAAAGTGCATCTACTGAAGCATGCAAAACATAAAGATCAAATTTGAGTTATTCATTTAGTGGAATGGTTAACCTACCAAGTTCACATATTCTACAACAAAACATTACCAGCTATCTAACAGGAAACTAAAGGCCTATAAGAACAAGTATGAAAGTAAGACTGATAATTGCTAAAAATAGTTTCATGTCTGTATGTTTGCTGATACAGGAGGAAGTTTGATTTTGCCTTTCTCTACCACTGATTAATGTAAGTCACACTATTTCTTATTTTATCTGTGATTCCCATATGCACCTTCCAAAAGCACACTCCAAAATAAGCCAATTAAGGTAACAATTAAGTTAAATTTGGTACACTCACCACAAACAATTTGGATAAAATTTATACATAAAAAACATTATGTTGGCATCAAATATTTGTTCTAGAGTTAGAAAAGTAAAGAAAGGCATGCAGAAGAAATAAGACACATGCCCTTTTCTCAAGAACATACATGAAAACCAGTACAAATCAGTTTCAACATGGTCTCATCTGTATCTCTTAAGATAGAAACATTGATATAGGCTCCAATTTATCATACAAATATCCTTATATACTGCAGTTATTGCTTTATAAGTCCATCTCCTCCCTTAGAGGACAGAAGTCATTTCTTAATCTTTTTCCACTCCTAAGGCCTAGCATAGTACTTGGCACACAGATGGTATCAAATAAGTGTTTGCTGAATAAATAAACAAACATAATTGAGAATTGTCAAGATACAATCTCCAAATATTCTACTGGACAAGGCACTTGTATTTTTCTTTAATGACTGACATATTCCCAAGATGAGATCTTCAAAAAACAAATATTAGATTGAACATACAGCGAGGGAAGGTAAAATAAAAAGAGCCCAATGACAAATAACAAATCTAAAATAATATAGACCACTCTCCCACCAAAAGAACTATACAAATAAATGACACATAAAGTATTATAGTAACAGAGAACATTACCTGTTTGCAGATTCTGCACCAGGAGTATGTGAGAATTGTATGTTGATATCCAGGTACTGGAGAATCTAATTCCTTCAGAATTATCTGCACACAGCCTTGGCCATGGACAAAGCGCCGAATGTGATGCACCATAGGGGTATCACAGAACATGCTAGGACACTGATAAGAAGGCCTTTGACAAACAAGAGAGTCCTTCTCACATTAAGCATGAAACAGAGAAGCCATATACAATGAGCACTGGCTAATCAGAACCACTGTCGAGAAAGTGCAGCATCCTCTTTAGAGTAACAATGACTGCTAAACAATCTCTACAGAGACTCATGCTGCTCTGAGACTGCAATTGAACATCCTGTTTTCAACTATAGCATCATGACTTGCATTCTTTAAGCACCTATATGCCAACAGTTTTAAAACATTTCGTTTTACCCATTAAAAGCCTGACATTTCTGGGGATTGTTATTTCCTATAAAGGGGATTGATAAAGATTAAATTACATGTGTTTTGTCATGTAAGTGGTGAGTGGTGGCACTAGGAATTAAAGTGACGCCTAGCTAATTTCAACATTTCCTTTGCCTTTCACATGAATCACCATAAAAACAGATATGCTAAAAATGTCTGAGCGATCACAGGGTAATCAGATGAACAAAGATATGAGGAATGTACTGGATAAGATGTCCCAGTATGAATATGAAATAGATTGCTTCTTTGTACGGTATACTCTGATATGTGCTATGAAAGCAAGGACGGACTCACACAACAATATTTGACATCCAACTCATGTTTATGTTTCAGGTTGAAAGTCTTGGCATCAAAAATGCACAATGGAACATATAAGGAAATTTGCTCTTACCTGAAACAGTATCTCTCTAAAAATATTCCTAATGTAAGATCATTCTTTCCATAAAATTCCATTGTTACTATCCTAAAAGAAGAGATCACCGCTTAGAAACATAAGAATTACCACACATGAAAGACATTTCATGAGACCACAAATTCTGATTACCCTGTTAAATGTATAGTATTTATAATGAAGTATTAAAGCAGGTAATATTCTCTGTTGCTATAAAACAGGTTTTATCTCACCTGGTAAAACAGGTTTAGACTATCCACACTATAGCATCTTTTTCACTCCAGTACATTAGTATCTTATGAAACTATTTAATGAGGATACATAAAATTATAGTATTAATTGAGTGAAACTAGTTAAGAAGAAGTAAAAGTTTCCTTTACAAAGGCTTAATCCCTGTCAACATAAAGTGGGATTCCTGCTCTCTAGTCCCCACCTTTACTGAGCATGGAGAACAGCAGCTCATAGACTTGCTAAGGCACCAATTCTTAACTTTGTATCTAACTTATAAATGCCCACAAATAAGAAACTTTGGCCACATACCTGTCAACTTATTCAAGCCTCGACCTAAGGAGTCCGTACACTCCCAGAGAAAATTCCTAATAGGCACCTCCAGCCCAAGTCCTCCTGCTGGAGCTATACCACTACCGAAAGAATCCTTGCTCTCACTGCTGGAAATAAGTGTTTCACGTGTCCAAAATCAAAACATGGAACACATTTTGTCAGGGAAATAGTGCTCCAAAATAAGCAGTTATGTTCCATTCTATTTTTTAAGCTAAAAGCAAAGTATGTAATATAAGACTATGTATGTCTCTGCAAGGCTTTTTCACTATCATTTGAAAAAAATAATTTAAAACATTATAAAATGAGTTTCATTTCTATCAATCCACTTAGAATTAAGTTTTAGAATAAAACCCATTAATAAGGCAAAAAGGTTGACTGCTTTTATAAAAATGATACATGAAGGAAAACCTCCCTAAATTGTATGTGTTATCATCAAAATGCTTTTACTAGATTTTGTGTGTCAGCTTTCTTGGATTTCTATGTACAGGCTGAGCATCCCTAATATGAAAATCTGAAACGTCAAACACTCCAAAATCCAAAACTTTGAGCACCAACATGACGTCACAAGTAAAAATTCCACACCTGACATCTTTGCTTTCTGATGGTTCAATATACACAAACTTTGTTTCATGCACAAATTAAAAATCTTGTACAAAATTACCTTCGGCCTGTGTGTATATGCTATATATGAAACATAAATGAATTTCATGCTTGGATTTGCATCCTATCCCCAAGATATGTCATTATATATATGTAATGATTCCAAAATCTGAAAAAATCCAAAATCCAAAATCTGAAACACTTCTGGTCCCAAGCATTTGGGATAATACTCAACCTATACAAATTTCTCTTCTATCCCTCACATTTTTTTTCACTGTTGAGGTACTCTCATTAATTTCTACCCATGAACGAACATATATTTCCATATTTACTTCACAAGTTTAAAAGTTCTATCAATTCATATATACCAGCAGTGTGCCATGTACCTAAAAACAGGTCCTAATGGCTGTATTTTTTTTTTAAGTTGCTGGAATTCTGTTCATAAATGCAATAGTGTAGGGAGAGAAGAATCCTACCAAGGACTGACACAGGCACTGGGCGCATTGCTGGACTGGGCAGAAGAGCTGCTGAAGAGCACGCACAGTCTCTGGTGGTTAACGGGATTCAGACAATCCACCTGAGAGAGAAGGATCAGATGAGTGACTGCAAGTTGGAAAACATTCCAACCTCAGTGAATGCTTCTAACACCAAACACATTCCACTCTATTTGGAAAGCCTACAACCATCACTGTAGGAGTACTGGTGAAGATTTAAAACTACTATTACAAGAAACTAAATATAAGAAAGAAGGGCAGTTGGTTTTTGAAGGAAGACAACTCAAAAAGTTTAAGTGAAACTTAAAAATAAAAAAAGATGTCTAAATAGCTTGTTTTCTTAACTTAAATACTCTTAGTTTTACAAAACTGTATTAAATTATTTTGGAGGAAAAAGTTAACTAAATATATCCATATGAAACAGTCTGAATGGATGGCTGAATATAACATTAATCTGAGACACCCAGAGATCTAAATTCTAAGGTATGTATTTAATCTGGGCCTTCAGACTCCAGTATTGTTGATGAAATAAAAGATCAAAATATTTTTTAAATAAATAAAACTATCCGTGCTTTATGACTGCTTTTGATCATTACAAAGGTAACACCTGCTCTCTGTTAAAATTCAATAGTACAGAGGTACATGCAGAAGCTCACAAAATACATAAAGCCTGTCCTCTTTTGATTCCATCCTACTTCCTGAGCTGAGTAGTTTGACAGTATTGTTTCAAAATATCCATTCTAAAGTCAGATGCAGTGGCACACACCTACAGTCTCAGCTACCTGGGAGGCTGAGACAGGAGGGTTGCTTGAGCCCAGGAGTTAAGAGCCAGCCTGGGCAGCATAGAGAGACCCTGTTTCTAAATAAATAAATAAACAAACAAATCCATTCTTTTTGCTAGCTCTTACACATACACATACGTACACCCCCCTAGGTAAGTACACACAGGGGATTTTGTTTTTATAAAAATGGGATGATGCCATATATATGAAAACACAACTTGCTTTTTAACACTTAAAAATATATCATGGAGGCCGGGCGCAGTGGGTCATGCCTGTAATCCTAGCACTCTGGGAGGCCGAGGCGGGCAGATT